AAGGAAATGAGATCTCTCTGAAATGTATTGCACCTGGTGGTATGAAGAAGGAAAAGGGAACCCAAATCACAGAATGCAGTCAGAAGATGAAATAATATACCAGTGAAAAATAGACCACCAAGTACCCAAGGCCAAATGCAAAAACAAATATAAGCAGCCAAAACATGACCCATCATGAATCAAGAGCTGTACATCAAAATGTTGCTTCTCAGTATCCTCATGGAGCAAACCACCCCCATAAGCTACAACTATTTATCCCCAGGGGCTAATCAGCAGTCCCTCCCACCACCATGTGTGTGCAATCAAAGCGGGGAGGGGATTTAACAAAGAGAATGTGACCTGATGAACCAAGTGATGTGTCTCCATCCCTTTTAATATATCCAAACAACCAATTTATTTGTCCTGGGACTTCAAATGAGGCACAACATACACGACCAACAAATAACTAGTTTCCAACATCATTTTTAATAAATGAATAAACTTTTCTCATTGCTTACAAAAAGAGGATATAATGGTAACAACCTGATTTGTAATAAATCTATAAATGCATTTAATACATAATTGGATATACAATGGACCATGTGCAATCCAGATGTCAATACATAAATTGCATTCAAAAACTTGACACGTTTCGTGACTCTTAGTTCACTTCTTCAGGAGTAGATGCATATATAATATAAAACATCAAGTATGTAACAACCTAGTGATATTGTCACATACCTGGTAGGGGAGCCTGAAGTGGAGAGAAGGCGTCCTCTTGCAGCTCTTGCTCGGAACCCCTGAAAGTGGGAACAGGGGCGCAGAGCCAGGAGGGGCAGGAGTGCCGTGTAGATCTTGCGGCTGTCAGCAGGTAGCTGGGGACCCAAGCCGGACACAAGCCAGAGCGGGTGCAGGGATGTAGGTGCAGCAGCAAGTGGTTTTGGTGGCAGTTAGGGTGCGGGTCATGGGACCGAGCACCAGTGCGTGGATGCGGTGGCTGACGATATGGCGGTGGTTCCGGATGTAGGCAGATGCAGAGCCGTGGGTGCAGCAGTAGATGGATATGGTAGCTGACAGGCACAGGTCGGGTGCAGGTGCAGGCAGAGTAATACAGCAGAGTCAGGCAGGCTGGTCGGTAACAAGCAGGCAGATCAGTACAAGAGGAGCAGGCAGGAGAATGGTCAGGGATAGCCAGGGTCGGTGCAGGCGGAGTTCTTTCTTAGGTGGGTATGCAGTTATCAGAATCAGGAAATGTGTGCAGGAACGTATTTAGACCAGAAGGCAATGATTTCCATATGCAGCAGGTTTAAATGGCCCACCAAACATGACGTGCGCTACTGCGCATGTGCGAGCCTTCCGCACTACCGCGCATGCGCGGCCCGCACGCTCCCGCGCCTGCACACCGTCGCGACTCGAGGGGACCTGTCGCCGTCGCACCACTGCACGGCAACTGGATCCCTGACAGATATCTTTATATATTAAAATTTCTCTCCATAGTAATTACTTTGGGTGCGATCATGATTGCCCACCTACTTTGAATCTGCTTCTGGTTTGTCCCCTTCTCACGGAATCATACTTCCACAGCTCCCGAGTGAGACTCCCCTGACGATCACCCTTGAGATTGAAATATATTTTTAGATTTACAAGTATACCACTAGGTTGTTTACATATACCACTTGTTGATGATTTACCTGCAGCTATTCTATGCATCTACTCCTGAAGAAGTAAACTAAGAGTCACGAAATGCGTCGAGTTTTTGAATGCAATTTTAATGTAATTTATGTATTGACATCTGGATTGCACATGGTCCATTGTATATCCAATTATGTATGAAATGCATTAATATAGATTTATTACAAATCAGGTTGTTACCATTTTATATCCTCTTTTTGTAAGGAATGAGCAGTTTATTCATTTTTATTAAAAATTATGTTGGAAACTAGTTATTTGTTGGTCGTGTATGTTGTGCCTCATTTAAAGTCCCAGGACAAATAAATTGGTTGTATGGCTATGTTTACAGTTTTAATTTGTTTTCAAATTTGATTCAAATTATTTTGGATGAAATGACGGTTCGTTATTTCAGATTTGTTTAAATTCTTTAGTATTGTAATCTGGAAACTTTGGATACATCCATATAACGAAAATTTTGTCTGAATTTTGATTTGGAATGAAATGAACCCCACATGTCTAACAGACTGCAAAGGAGTGACATCTTGGTGGGACTCAATGTTATAGGAGAGGGAGAGCTGAGTGTTGGCACATGTGGCAAAATCACTAGTAGCAAGCAACAGAATCAACAGTGTGACATAAAGCCAATGTCCTGGCATGTGGCTGATGAAAGGCAGGCAGATTAACTTAAAGTGTTACTAAACCCGGACCCCGCATTCACTATATCCGCTCCCCCCGGGCCCATTCACTATATCCGCTCCCCCCGGATTCACTATATCCGCTCCCCCCGGACCCCGCATTCACTATATCCGCTCCCCCCGGACCCCGCATTCACTATATCCGCTCCCCCCGGACCCCGCATTCACTATATCCGCTCCCCCCGGACGCCGCATTCACTGTATCCGCTCCCCCCCCGGATGCCGCATTCACTGTATCCGCTCCCCCCCCGGATGCCGCATTCACTGTATCCGCTCCCCCCCCCCGGATGCGGCATTCACTGTATCCGCTCCCCCCCCCCCGGACGCCGCATTCACTGTATCCGCTCCCCCCCGGACGCGGCATTCACTGTATCCGCTCCCCCCCGGACGCGGCATTCACTGTATCCGCTCCCCCCCCCGGACGCGGCATTCACTGTATCCGCTCCCCCCGGACGCGGCATTCACTGTATCCGCTCCCCCCGGACGCCGCATTCACTGTATCGCTCCCCCCGGACCCTGCATTCACTGTATCCGCTCCCCCCGGACCGGCATTCACTGTATCCACTCCCCCCGGACCCCGCATTCACTGTATCCGCTCTCCCCGGACCCCGCATTCACTGTATCCGCTCTCCCCGGACCCCGCATTCACTACATCCGGCATAAAGCTTGTAGGCGGAGTTTTCATTCTGCTCTAGGAGGATGCAGAACCCCCGACCTCCGTCTGGACAGTGCTGATTGGCCCTGTGCTGATCACATGCACTCTCCCAACAAAGAAAAACCTATCTAGCAATACACACCAAACTGAGCATGTGCGGAGTGTCTCCACACAATATGTCTTATCAGGAGATAAGAGGGAGACGCTGGAAAAAGGGGAGGATCAGAGAAGACAGGATCAAACAGCATTTTTACACAATGCGGAGGATTAACCCCTTAGGTTCCAAAGTGAGTATAACAAGCATGCTGTACTGCATATACAGACTGACTGTACTGTGGGGGTTTAGTAACACTTTAAAAATGCATCAAACATGTTCTACAAAAATGCATTGAAAGACGCATAATTATGTAGCAGCACTGGCGTGAACCTAAATTGATTGCTTATTGCCGCGCCCTAAATGTGAGATATGAATACTTCAAATACAATACATTAAGCCCACTGCTGGGCTAACACAGCTTTATGATGTTTTATCCTTGATGGTTATCTTTAGAGACTCCCTTAGATACTCCTGATGGTTGATTATAGATGATTGTGGGTTAGCTTTTTCTCATGGCAATAAAAAGTGCTCCATCTCCTTGTAGTATTCCTCATTAGTATAGTGGGAAAGAGAAAGGTACATAGTGCCTTATCGTTTAACAATTTTATTCACAACTTCTTCTTATGCACTCACAAGTATTCAGTATAAAAAGCGCTGAGTTAAAATAAGTGAAACTGCTACATGCGTTTGTGACAGGTCTCCTGCGTGGCTGCTTACACTCGCTCACAGACTATACTCGCCATGAAATCGGGTTGCTGTGGTGACGTCAAAGCCCCTCCCCAACACGTTGCGCCACAGGGACGTGTGGACCTAGGCCAGTGTTTCTCAATTCCAGTCCTCATGGACCCCCAACTTGTCATGTTTTCAGGATTTCCATTATTTTGCACAGGTGATTTGATCAGTTTCACTGCCTTAGTAATTACCACAGCTGTTTCATCTGAGGGAAATCCTGAAAACATGACCTGTTGGGGGTCCACGAGGACTGGAGTTGAGAAACACTGACCTAGGCTAACTATTTATTCCCGTCTCCTGTAGCAGCCGGGTGTGTCTGTGTAAAACTCAACACTGCTGACATATGCCATTCATTAGTGGCAGCATAAGGGGTAAGGAAGTAAAAAATCACTTCAAAAGGTAAGCAGCAACTTGTTTATGTGCATAAAAACATGCAAAAGTGGAAATATACGTTTAGGCAGTGATGTAATTATGTTTTGTGCTGCCCTAGGCAACACAAAAGTCGGCCGCATGGAGAGACCTTGACACCGACCAACACCCTCCTCCCCCACAATGAGTGCCTGACAGTGACCAACAACACCCCAGCCCCGCCCAAGAGGGAGCCTTCCATTACCACTGCCCCCCATACATTGGCAACCCACCCCAACTCACCTTCACAGCTCCAGACATCCCCAGGAACAAGAGTCAGGCTCTGCATACACCATTAAGCAGCACGCAGCCTCTCTCAGATCCCACCTGGTCCCCGTGCTGCGTGTGTCCCTTCTTCCATCCCTTCTTTAAGGGGGCAGCTCTGCCCCCCTGAAAAATGCTGCTGCCCCCCTGAAAGATGCTGACCTAAGCAAATGCCTTGTTTGCTTTCTGGTAAATACGCCCCTGCTTTCAGGCTTGATTCACACATATGAATCTTGCGTTTGATGCTTTTTGCCATTTTTGTTTTGCACTTTTCTACATGCATTTTTACCGTGTTTTGCATTTTTGTTCAGTTTTTTTTTTTTTAAAGTGGATTTTTTTTTTTTTTTTTGCTGGGAAGAACAAAAATGCAAAACGCACTACCATGCATTTCGGCAGCTTCTCCATTGAACTCACTGGTAGCAAAAACGGTGCCTTTTGCTTTTAACCGCCTCCTGCATGCCATATAAGGAAATGACGGATGCAAGGCGGTTCTCTCGTTCTGGGAGGATGTCACATGACGTCCTCCCATTCTAATCACACATGCGAGGCTCCGTGAGCGCACAGCACAACGATTGGTGGTGCGCTGTGTCCCTCGGACACAGCTGATCACCGATCAACGGAAAGAGCCTGATGATCTGTGTAGCCCCAGAAGTGCCAGCTGTCAGTGTCCATCAGTGCCACCTGCCAGTGCTCATCAGTGCCCATCTGAGCTGCCTTTCAGTGCCGTCTATCAGTACCGCCTATCAGTGCCATATATGAGTTCTGCCTTTCAGTGCCCATCAGTGATGCCTGCCAATGCCCATCAGTGCCACCTATCAGTGCCTCCTCATCAGTGCCACCTATCAGTGTTCATCAGTGCAGCCTATCAGTGCCCATCACTGTAACCTCATTAGCGCACATCAGTGAAGGAAAAAAAATCACTTATTTACAAAATGTTATAACAAAAACTAAAACTTTTCAGTGGTTTTTGTTTTGTTTAGCAAAAAATTTAAAACCCAGAGGTGATTAAATACCACCAAAAGAAAGCTCAGTCTCAAAAAAATGATAAAAATTTCATATGCGTACAGTGTTGCATGACCGCGCAATTGTCAAAGTGTGACCGCACTGGAAGCTGAATATTGGCCTGGGCAGGAAGGGGGAATAAGTGCCCTGTAGGCTAGTGGTTAAAAAAAGTCCCCAACCCTTTAAAAAACACAGCAGCTCAAAAAAACATAGGTGTGAACATGTCCCATAGGAAACCATGTTAAATGGATTGTAGTGCGTTTCTGCAGAAAGCACTAAAAAAAAGTACATTGGTGTGAAGGAGCCTTAAATAGTCCTTGTTGAGACTGCAGTACTTGTATGTGGCGGTAGATAGCAGCAGACGTCATTCCGTACTGACAAAGTGAAAGTGAAATCAGTGTAGTTGGTTGACAGTGAAGACATGTTCTCGGGTTGGGATTCAGTCGATTCATATGGGTCTCAGTAGAAGTGACTCAACAAGATGTGTCCTGGGGAAAAGTTCCAAGTACGGACCACAATGAAAGTTCTGATTCTAATCAGCTTTCCCTGCCTGGGCCATACGCTAATAGGTGAGTCTATCCTGTATATCAGGAAGCAAAAGGGTTAATGGTCACAGCGTGAATACTGGGAGCTATGCAGGGCCGCCATATTCTAGTGTAGTATTCCGTGTTATACTTCTAATGGTATGTTATTGTTACTTTACTGTCCTTTATCCTTGTGTTAGGCCTCATGTATACGGACAACTTGGTCTATATACACTCACCGGCCACTTTATTAGGTCCACCTGTTCAATTGCTTGGTAACACAAACTGCTAATTTCTCTAGAGAGGGCTGTGCATGAAAACCCCAGTAGATCAGCAGTTTTTTTTTTTTTTTTTTTTTAAACACTTACCCTCCAGAGGATTTACCCCCATTAATGACCACGCCTCTTTTTGCTACTCGGCGCTGCAATAATTCAACTGATAATTGCGCGGTCATGCAATGCTGCACTCAAACGAAATTTACATCCTTTTTCCACAGAAATAGAGCTTTCTTTTGGTGGTATTTGATCACCTGTGCGCTTTTTATTTTTCACGCTATAAACAAAAGACCAAAAATTTTGAAGAAAAACGATATTTTTTACTTTCAGCTATAAAAAAAAATATATAGTAAACTCAAAATTAGTTCTAAATTTAGGCCAAAATGTATTCTGCTCCATGTTTTTGGTAAAAAAAAATCCCAATGAGTGTATATTGATTGCTTTGTGTGGAAGTTATAGCGTCTACAAACTATGGTATAGATACTGCAACTTACGCCATTTTTTTGCTGTACAGCGCTGCTCAAGTTTAATAGACAATTGCGCGGTCATGCAATATGGTACATGAATGAAATGTATGTCCCTTTTTTTTTTTTTTTTTTTTACACAAATAGAGCTTTCTTTCGGTGGTATTTGATCGCCTGTGCGGTTTTTATTTTTTGCGCTATAAAAAAAAAAGGCTGACAATTTTGAGAAAAAAAAACAATATATTGGACTTTTTGCTATAAAACATGTCCAGTAAAAAAAATGTAAAAAATTAAATTTCGTCAAATTTCAGCCAAAATGCATTCTGCGACGTCTTTGCTAAAAAAAACCCCAATATGTGTAAATTAATTGGTTTACGTGAAAGTTATAGCGTTTACAAATGGAGGGAAAGATACTGGGATTTTAATTTTTTTTTTTTTTTTTCATACTAATAATGGCGACGATCAGTGACTTATGGTGGGACTGCGGCAGGACATTCTGACACTGGGGGGGAACTGACTTGGGGTCACTGACATCCCCAGTGACACCAATACAATGATCAGTGCAAAAAAAAAAAACACTGACACTGTACTAATGGCACTGGGCAGGAAGGGGTTAACTTTTTTATTTACTGAAAGGGTTAACTGTGTGAGGGGAGTGTTTTTACTAGGGGGTGGGGTGTGTACTGGGGGCGGGGGGCACGCTGATCTGGAGAGAAACTCTTCTCTCGGCTCAGCCTGTCAGGAGCTGTCAGGGAACTGACGAAAGCACAGCTACTGCAGCCCTGCTCTCTGTCAGTGATTGCTGCTAATCGGCAGGACACAGCCGGTAACGAACCGGCTGTGACCCGGCGACTGACATCCGTGGCCGTGATCGGCGGGACAGGTAGGGCGGTGGCGCGCCTCGTGCACGCTCCCTACCTGTTTTGCAAACACGTGTTTTAAAACGTGTTTTTTTCCCAGCCGTGCCAACGTATTTCTACAGTGGCTGGGTGGTATGTGGTTAAATACTCCGAACATCCCGTCTGGCACCAACAACCATGCCACATTCAAAGTCACTTAAATCCCCTTTCTTCCCCATTCTGATGCTCTGTTTGAACTTCAGCAAGTCAACTTCACCACTTCTAGATGCCTAAATGCATTGAGGTGCTGCCATGTGATTGGCTGATTAGCAATTGTTATCGAGCAATTGAACAGGTGGGCCTGATAAAGTGGCCGGTGAGTGTATGTCACATCTGGCATATTCAGGTGCACAGGAAGCACAGGAGCAGCACCCAGCTCTGCTGCCAGCAGCCTATCACAAGCTATGACAGGCTGACATACCCGGTGGCTGGATGTGGTCAAATGCTGTACTGAGTAGTACTTGCGTTTACGGCTGTGTGCGTTTAGGGTTGTAAGGCCAAAATGCATATGACTGTAAGCCTTGGCACAGCATCCAGCATATTTTCAGCCTGTCGTGCAGGCAGCGGAGCTGGATGCTGCTCCTGTGCCACCTAAAAACGCCACCTTCATGCACATGAGCCAAACCACCCCGTGCATGTAGCCTTACATGTTAGTGACATGTACCTTAAGCCTTGGTTCACATTATGAACCGCATATGAATGGCACAGGAACCACACCGCATTCCCCCGCAATCACACCACATAGCACCAAACTTATGCATGCAGCAATTTTAAAATTGCACTGCAACCGGATTTCATAGTCGTTTTGTACCATGCGATCCAGTGCGCTGCATTTGCGACCTGTGTTTGGGGTGTCAATAAGATTGACTGGGTCGGTGTAAGTTAAAAAACATAGAAACTTTATTGCAGAAGACTTTCATTTAAGAATCCTTCAATCAGCATGCAGGATGAGATGGTAGACAGAAGCGGGACCGCAGTACACTCTGATCGATGGATCGATGTAGGCTGCATAACCTGGAAGGGAGCCGCTCATGGACTCCGCTGCGTTCGTTCAAAAATTCCAGCCGAGCGGTGGAGGGATGTGACAGGTGAATGGCGGGTACAATGCGTTTCAGAAGCTCTGCTTCCTTTGTCAAGCAAGCCCGCCTATACAACAGAGGGATATATAAGCTGTCAGACCCCGGAGAGCAAATGGGGAAAGGAAAGAGAGGAGGAGTGAGAGAGCAGAAAGGGTGCAGTGACAGTGTGCAATGAGCTAAGCGATGATCGCAGACATTTTCGGGACTAGTGAACTGCAAATTGGCCATAGTTTACAAGTCCATGAAAAAGATTCTCATAAGTAAAAAAGAGGGAAGGGGGGGGAAGAAAAGAGTAGGGAGAACGTGGTACGGGAGAAGGGGAAGTGGAACCAGAACCAGAAGTCCAGGAACAAGAAAAAATCTGATAAAAAAAATTTAAAAGTTATAGTAAGAAGAAAAAAAAGGAAAAATCATGCAGCTACATGATCGGATCCACCATAGGCACAGGAGAATGCAAATTGCAAGAAGATGCAAATAAATATGCAAAAATATGATTATTAAAAAATGAATATAAAGGTATATACAGATATTTTCCATACCCTAAAAATGGGGGTTCCATGAGCCTGTAACTATAATATAATGGAGTGGCTTTTTTTAAAAATACCACCTACTATGAATAGGTAGGAAAGGTATACACTTTAATATACTGTATATTTTGCTCCATAAGACGCACTTTTTTTTTCCCCCCAAAAAAAGGGGGAAAAAGTCAGTGCGTCTTATGGAGCGGCTGGTCCAGTATTTCCGCCACCGTGTTAGAATACCGGGCCGGCCGCTCAGCTCTTCTCTGCAGCAGGACCTTACCTGTTCCTCAGCCAAGCGCTGTACAGTCTTCCTGCGCCTGCATCTTTAGTGTGGGCACCCGGCTCTCACAGCCGGGTCCCCACTACGCATGCACGAGAAGCACTGCACTTTGTGAATGGTCCAGCGTCTTCTGGGACACATGACAGGTCCCAGAAGATGCCGGGGCATTCACAAAGCTCAGCGCTTCACAGCCGGGTGCCCACACTAAAGGGAGGACAGCTCCGCAGAAGTGTCAAATTCAGGTACCCGCTGCCCCTCCCTAAAGGTCCGCAGCTCCGCTGGTCATCCCCTGTATGGTGTCCGCAGCCTCTGGTCATCCCCTGTATGGTGTCCGCAGCCTCTGGTCATCCCCTGTATGGTGTCCGCAGCCTCTGGTCATCCCCTGTACGGTGTCCGCAGCCTCTGGTCATTTCTTATACTATGTCTGCAGTCTATTGGTTGGTTCAGAATATTTTTTTTTTTCTTGTTTTTCTCCTCTAAAACGTAGGTGCGTCTTATGGTCAGGTGCGTCTTATGGAGCGAAAAATACGGTATATTGAAAAAATGAATTTATTGTATATTTCTCCAATGGAAACATTATTATATTGAGGTGCTAACACTGAAACTTGATGGTTCTTATAATAAGAAAGATGTAATTTGAGGACATGCTATAAAAGCAAGATATGTACTTAAAGTATATTGGAGCATGGTAATGAGTATAATTATATGATGGGATTATTGTCCAAATCTTCATTATGCCCTTTTGGTGACAAAGTGTTCAGGGTAAAAAAATCCAGAATGTTTCTTTGATGCAAAGTTTGTGGAATCTGTCAGCCTGGGAATCTCCAGGGGGAATCGATTTGATTACCCAAACCTTAAGTGTGGCAGGCGCAGCACCCTTTGGTGCCTTGTGCGCTG